GATTTTGAAGAAGACATGTCGGAAGAAAGTGTAAGTGAACTCGGCAATCGGATTTCAGAGTCGTTAGAAAATGATATTTTGTAGTTGCAGGACGAGGAAATCAACGACGAAATAGATTGTGATAATATTGAGGAGGCATGTGAAAAATCACCAACTAGTAAAAGAATTAGATGATTAAATGTAAATAAAAATTGAAATAAATAGTTTAAAATTTGAAAAATCATGAAAAGTGTATACTGTTTATTCAAGTATCCAAAAGATTCTTATATTTTTTTATATAAATAAAAAATAAATTTTAGATAAATATTTTAAAAGTAAACGAAAAAATTAAAATTATAATTATTCACAATTAATTTTTTTTAAAGATTTTTAGAAATTTATCGTACAACTAAAAATTAATACAAATTTTCAGTTATTTATTTAAATAATTATTGTTTAAACAATTTTATAATATTTAAACAAACTTACTAGTATTACCTGGTGCAACATGCAAAAATTTTGGTCGTGAATATTAACATAGTAAATAAATAAACATAATAAATTAATCATTTTTTAAAGTAACTGTTTATCGGCATGTCAAAAGTCCAATAATTAATAATAAAAGGTAGTTGAAAATATGATAATTGAATTTTTTAAGTTGCGAGACATCGATTTAAAAAAAAATCATCGAAATTGGTCCATTAGAAGCTGAGATAAGTGAAATTTTTCCGAGCGTCGCAGTTTTGAACTCGAGAATTCAGATCGGAGTAGCTGTGTGTTTGCTCCCCCCACCACTGATACCTCATTGATTTCACGCGGTCTTGAATATCTTTGAGTGACATTTTAAATGGGACGCCCGTGATTGCAAATTTTGAAAATTTATATCTGGAAAGTACTCGGAATGACAAACCTATTAGTTCAAAAAACAGCCCTTATACCCTTATAGTTTTGCTGTAAATAAGGGTTAACTTTAACGGGCTATAACTCCGAAAATAATGGGCGGATCATCAGGTTTTTTTTTAAATACTCGTCTTTCCGAGTACTTTCAAACCATATTTTAAAATAAAAAAAAATTTAAAAAACATTAAATTATTGCAATTGTTTATAAGCGTGAAAATTGCGAAAATGTTTAAACAATCACCACGGCTCTCCTAATCGTCCGATTTGAATTTTTCAAAAAGCATTTTAAAGCTTGAGAGCTCTTCTTTTTGTGGTGAAATTTTCAAGTATTCAAAGGCTTTAGATTTTTAGAAATTTGATTTTGAAAATTTTTTAATTTAGAAGAAAAAAATTTAGACAATTATTATGTAAAAACTATCGAACCGAATTGGATGAAATTTGGTGTGATGAAGTCTGAAAAAAATTGACAAATAAACTAGTATTTTTTGCAATTTTTTTAATGATTTTTCCGATTTTTGCAATAACAATAATTATTTTTTCGGATTGCAACTAACTCGTATCTTGTTTACAATTTAATTACAAAACTTTTTTCCCTCTTCCATTTTTGTCTAAAATGAATAGTTGTTAAGTTGTCGACGAGAAATCCAAGAAAAAAATGAATTTTTTTGCTATTTGTTTATACTTTTTTGCAATAACAGTTAAGCCCACGTTTTTTTTTATTTGCATAGACAAATTATCATTTCTGATGTTATTTAGAAGCCGTTAAACCAAAAATCTCCGATCATATGCGTTTTACCCAAGTATACCCTTTTTAAAACAGTTATCGCCTGGAGAATAAAGCGTTGTATCATGTAGTATTGAAAATAACTTTAAAAAATGAAAGAGGACATTGTACTTTAAGTGGCTGTCACTTAGGTAAATACACTATATTTGGTGCATCCTTGTACTGACAAAATAGTGTAAACCTTAATGAAACTAATATTAATAAAATCTATGACATTTCAAAGAAGATTTCCCAAGACGATATACAGAAACGATGTATATTCAGCATTCCGTGTAAAGGATTAAAAATATACGTTGGACAAACGGGAAGACACGTCAGTTTGAGGTTAAAGGAGCACAAATGCCACTTGAAAAATAACAACGTAGAAAAACCAACAGTTGTGGAACATAAGGCAGAAACGGACAATTTTAGTGACGAGAGAAGATTTTGGGCACGACAGGAAGAATAGAAATCCAGAAGAATCAAGATAATTTCAATGGAGACCAGGGGTTAGAATTACCTGAAGTTTAGAAGCGACACTCGTAAGAATCAAAAGGAGAACGACATGAACTAATGACTGCAAGCCATCCACTATGGACCAGTGTACACAGTAAACATAAATGTCAATCACCGGTCTTAATCTCCAGTTTCTTATGAAGAACATAGCGATATGTGTCTGGAAAACTCAAAAAAGCTAAACCGCTGACGTGACAACCAGCCTCGAAATTGTTCAGCAACTGCTAATCTAATTCAAATATATGTATCTTTTAAAATCCGATGCTTTTGTCGAATATCCTCAATAATCCTTTCCAAATTAAATTCTAACATGTGCTAATGATCGATTGGCTTTAGTTTATATAGGATATAACTGAGATTTATTTTTATGAATGTTGATATTCGAACTTCTGCTTGAAGAATAATATCGCCTATATTTATACGATCTAACATTTTTTCATTTTGCACAATAAATTTCTTAGATGCTCGACCGCCCTATGCCTCACTAATAGAGCCCTATGATATAATGCCATTTAAACATTTTAACGTGTTATGCTGCTTACAGTTGTAAACAGAGGGGTTATTTTTTTACTTATCTTTCTATGACCGCTATGACCAGTATCATAATGCTGTTAACTGACAAAAGAGTTTACTATTAACTTGTCGAAAGGGAGTTTATAATTATCATTACACTTTAATTAATACGTGGGAACTTAGAAATGTTGTACGTTCAGAGAATTATTTACACGCGACAGCGTACCGAGATTCAGGGAATGCGCGATCCATAGCAAAATTTCGAATGACTGTCCATTATTAAATTAACCCGAGACTCTAAAACTAAGTAGACTACTCAATGTGGAACCCAAGGAAAAACTGATTTTTTTCGGAGATCTCAACTCGCTTCGATACGCCCATTTCTTGGGTCCAGAAGTTTCTGTTCTTATCTTACTGGCGGGAACCTTGAATATCGGGACACTTTAGCATAACTATGCCATGTTAATAGTTCTCTAATTGACTGATTTTACATTTATCTAAATAATTTTGAGACTAAACTTACAAATAACCCTAGCCTTCCTCTAGTGACTCCGTGTCCGTATGGGACGGATTAGTCAATCTTATTTAATATATTCTTATAGCTTTGGAAAATCCGCCTAAAAACCAGCTATTTGATCTATTACTTTCTTTTCCAAGTATTGTCAACTTAACAATTTGATTTAATTCTAATTTGGAACCTCTATGCCTTTCTCGCGTTTTCGCACGTTATTAAAAATTAAATTAAATTAAAAGTATGGGTTTCTTTGTTCTGTCCCAGCATAGGCTGGCGCCTCCCGGACGCAACAGATGAATGTCACATGGTGATACGTTTTCAAGAAGTTACTTAACCCGAAGTGTTTTGGGGTTGTTCTAATTATCGGTTTATAAATTTATTAGTCTCCGCGACAAAAGCTCTTCAGACCACCCTCTAAATACAAATATGACACCTATACTACTTGACCCTCATCTGCCGGTTGTTGTTCTTAGAAAGCCTAATAGAACTATTGAGCTCCAGTCTTTCCGAAAATCGCCCCATAAATTACACGGATCTGGCTTTTGTTACACAGTCCAAACCAGTATTATAATATCCTTGGTTTTAATATCATCTCGTCTTAATCTCTCAATATTTAAACTAGTGATATCTAATTTGTTTTGTAAAGTAGAAAGAGGTTTTCACAAGTTATCTAGCAATGTTTTCCATTTGCTACCACTTCCATTCGACACGAAAGAGAAGCTTCAGCCACTGATTCTGTAAAAACTTTCTAAAAAGTACAGATCTAATAATACTAAAAATTGCACAGGCCGACAAAGTTAGGCCGACCCTCTAACCAAGAAACCAAAATGTACACTTGTCCGAAGGATTTTGGTGCGCTGAATTCGAATCCGGGATCCAAATGACTCTAGTTTTCGAGATATCCTAACCTAAAAGTGCTATAGTGCGATTTTTTAACAGATTAGAGGTTATGTTACATGGATAGATCTTTTTTTGCTAAAACCATTAATGGGGCCTTAAAGTACTATACTTACTCTTTAAAACGGATTTATCATTTTTCGTCTTTGAGGAATCGCATGTTGAAATTTAGTAGTTTGACTTATTTCTCGATTTTTGAATATACCGACAACACGGCATCACAAATCTAAATTCATAGGCACCCGGAAGAACGGATCGCTGATCATGAATCTGAACTCCAAAATACTCTATGCATTAAATGTCTAAAAATTCGATATATGGCCAATATTTTACGCATTATATCAATCTAGAAAGACATTTACACACAAAAGAGGCTAATACGCTCAATCCCGAACTCATACACCCACCAATAATTATTTCGTCTTCTATGCTAGCCTTACCCAATATGGATAGACATTTATTTGAAACATATTTTTATAATTTAGCCATATAACATTAATATAAATATTTATTGTAGCATATTTCTGCTTGGCCTCCTCACTTTTGATAACTGGTTAATATGTTCCTTATCTTAAAATTCGAAACTTTTGGAATTGAACAAAATTTCACCTGTTCACCACGTTTGACCACACAACAAAATTTTGGCATTTTATGTAAAGCAAACAAAATAATTTCCCAAAAATACAGACTTCCAAAATATGAACATCATAATCACATACTAGGTGTACGAAGCAAAACAAACATTAGATTTAGATTGATTTGTGTGATCTGTCGACGTCATTTTGAACTGACAGCATTTTAGATATGGCAATAAAACATAAACTGATTTGACACATTTGTCATTAAATTACTTTTTCGTCCAGTGTTATATTTTTTGAAAATACGGAAAAACGTTATCTAAATATGAATATTTCTTAGGGTTTCAACGACGTGGGATTTCATGGAAGTGATGAAATTTCAACACCAAATATCGATGCTTTAGCTTATAATGGTGTTATCCTAAATAGCCATTACACTCAAGCATTGTGTACGCCATCTAGATCAGCATTTCTTACTGGAAAATATCCAATTCACTTAGGTATGGAAGCATTTTATTATAATTTTTCTACAACTGACAGTTTTTTAACATAGTGATACTTTATACAGGGTGCCCGGGAAAATGTACGAAATCCCTCGGGTGCAATAGAACATGAAAAAAACAAATGTTCTTATAAAATTCGTACAGGCCCTCCCTACGGAGATATGTGTCCCTGAACGACACCCCTGGAAATCGGTTTTTATTGAATAACTTTGAAAGAACCTAATATAATTTAATAAAAATTTTATGTGATGGACAGTAGTAAGGACCTCTTAAAATAGTGTCCTTGAAACATATTTAGCTTTTTTAGTTTACCAGGGGCGGGCTTAGCTTTACAACTTAATGTCTAAAATTTTAACACCCTATATGATAAAGACTTTAAAATAACAAATCTGGGTAGCTTCAACCTTAGACCAAAAAAAGTACTTGTGTTTATTGTCGATCAAATGAACCGTTTACGAGAAAAAGAATATTAAATGAATTCTTGTTCATTTTTAATAAAAAGGGCCATGATTTCTATATTTTTTATCTCGACAACAAAGTGACATCGCTGACACATTGATTCTTTACTTTGTTAATAATTTACTGATTTTTAGATTTCGTGTTGAATTTAATTGTGAATTAATCCGAAATATGGAATACACGTTTATTTCTTGCGCATTGCAATGCTTTACAAACCAGAATATTATATCACGACAGATTTCGTAATTATGCTCTGCCAAACCAGAAGACATTTCAACGAGTTGACCAACGTCTAAGGGAGAACGGTGGGCGATTCCAGTTAATAAGGTAATACATATTATTGACTTTCTTCATATTTGTAGGAAAATTTGGAAAAAATAGTACTGATGCTGATCTGAGAAGAACCGTATGTACAGTCGGCGCCACCCAAATGTGAACGGCAATATTGTACCGTGTAATTTAGACTTCAAATCATGGTCGTCGTAAAATTCAATAGTTGTCAAGTATATATAATATATGTCACTTAGAGCAAACATAATGAAATGTAAACAAGTAACGTGAAATATGCAGGAGCATTTAACTGAGGCACAAAGAGTAAGGCCTGTAGCTAAATTAGAAGATAATTGGTCTTTGAGTGAAGTGGATGCTGATTTAAATGTCAGTAAGAGTTGTATATTTTACATTAAATAACGCTGGCAAGAAGAACAAATATTACAAAGATAAATCTAAGGTTTCCAGTGACGCGGAAGACAATGCCTTGGTCGAATTTATCCATCAGAATACCCTCTCTGTGTTACGCCACTAAGAAAAGTTTGATTTACTACGATAAAATCCAGATAAAATTTCCATAACAACCAAAATCCGTTCACATTTGGGTGGCGCCAACTGTACGCAGCAATTAGAAGAAAAAATGTATTTTAATTGCTGTAGAAGACACTCCATCAACGAACACTCGAAAATTATCAGCACAATTTGATACATCGAAAATAATAGTACGTGAAGTTCCTCAAGAACAGCTGTTATATCCATACCATTTGCAAAAAATACATAAACTGATTCCTAAAGATTTTCCTCGGAGAATGCAGTTTGCAAACTGGCTATTGGATCAGCAACAAAATAATGTAAACTTCATTAGCACTATTCTTTTCACGGATGAAGCAAGTTTTACTAAAAATGGTTTCACCAATTTACACAACACACATGTATGGGCTGATGAAAATCATCATGCCACTATTGTTTCGCATCATCAACATCAGTTCCAATCAATTAACATCTGGGCAGGAACCATTGGCAATTTTTTTATTGGACCATTCGTATTGCCGGAACTATTGAATGGACAACTTTATTTGGAGTTCCTTTAGAACGCTTTTCAAGATTTGATAGAGTACTTACCAATTGAAACCCGCCGAAACATGCACTTCATGCGCGATGGGGCACCACTTCATTTCAGTGTTGGTGAATAACGTCTATCCAAACCGTTGAATAGGTAGAGGAGGACCTATTGCCTGGCCTCCTCGATCTCCCGACCTAACGCCTCTGGATTTTTACCTGTCACACGTCAAACAATTGGTGTATTCCACTCCGGTCGACACTAGAGAGAAACTTCTACAGATAATCACGTTTCATTGTGATAATTAACAATGCTGAGTTATTGTGGCGGGTACATCAGTCCTCAATTCGTCGTGCCCGCGAGTGTATCAGACTTCACGGAGCACCTGTTGAACCCTCTTATGAAGTTTTTCAATAATTTCGTTAAGGTGCCTCCTGGGACACCACTGCGTTTTTTTTTTAATTTTGTATTTTTTCGAATTAAACATCTTAAAATGAAACTTTCCTGTTGTTTGAATAACTTTCGTATTGCACTTTGTTGTCGAGTAAAAAAAATAGAAATCATGGCCCTTTTTATTAAATATAAAACATGACTTGGTTTATTATTATTTTTCTCGTAAACGGTTCATTTTATCGACAATAAACAAAAGTACCTGTTTTTTTAGTCTAAGGTTGAAGCTACCCATATTCCAGATTTTAAAGTCTTTATCATACAAGGTGTTAAAATGTAGGTATTAAGTTGTAAAGCTTAACCCGCCCCAGGTAAACTAAAAAAGCTAAATATATTTCAGTGACACTATTTTAAGAGGTCCTTACTAGTATATATCACATAAAATTTTTATTAAATTATATTAAGGACTTTAAAAGAAAAACCGATTTCCAGCGGTGTCCTTCAGGGACACATCTCCTTAGGCAGGGCCTGTACGAAAAATTTTTATAGAAACTTGTCATCTTATTTTGTCATGTTCTATCTACATCCAAGAGATTTCACACATTTTCCCGGACACCCTGTATACCCTTCATATTCTAATGACCAGGCGCGTAGTTAGAGGGGAGCAGGTGTGGGCACGCCACACTTCCCCTGCCCCCCCCCCCTAAAGTCCGGTGCGCTCCCCAGAAAAAAAAATACGATTCAATATCATCTTTTTGGTCGGACACCAGGCTGACTAGCTGGCCCCTAATGAAAAATAATATACCTATTTTATAACTTTACCTATTAGACTAGGCGGTATCTGTTTTGGTTTGGGTGAATCGTATATCCACGGAGATTTTTGAAAAAAAATGAAAAAATGAAAATTTTTCTATGCGCATAAAAAAAACGTGGGCTTAACTTTTGGCGGCACAATATGTTAAAAAAAATCGAAAAATTATATATTTTTCTTCCTTTTCATTATGTATCTTTTCAAGAGTTGATTTTAGGCGAAAATGGAAGAGGAAAAAAATGTTTGTAATTAAATTTATTACAAAACATGACTGGTTACAAATCGAATGGATCATGATTATTATGGTAAAAATCGAAAAAATCGCAAAAATGGGGTTAAAAGACAATACTTTTTAGGGATTTTTTTTTGGGGTCTTTAAATTGGGTATAGGACCTTTATACTTGGCTCAAGAAAACTTCATGTTATGTAGAATCATCACACCAAATTTCATCAAAATCGGTTCGATAGATTTTGCATAATAATTTTACAATCCAGATTTTGAAAAAAAATTTGCAAATTTTCAAAATTTTGCACAGCAAAAACCAAGGCCCTTAGATACTTGAAAATTTAATCACATATAGAAGGGCTCTCAAGCTTTCAATCTTTTTTTGAAAAATTCGAATCCGTCAATTAGGAGAGCTCCGGCGCTTGTTTAAACATTGGTCGAATTTTTGTACTTAACAATTAGAATAACTTTTTAAATATTCAATCAAATCTAATTGTTTAAAGCAGGTATTAAAAGTTCTTGGAAAGATGCTTCTTAAAAAAAAAACAGATCGATTGGTCAATTAGTTACGTAGTTATAGTCGATCAAAGTTAACCGTCATTAATACTAAATGTACTGGGACATCCGGGCTAATTTTTCGAAAAATACCTTTGGTATTCCGAGTACTTACCAGGTCTAAGATTACAATACTTTTCTTCATTGGCAATCTACTTTAAAACGTGTTTAAAGTTATTTATGCAAGCGAGAAATTCAAGAAAATCGTACGGGTGGTGGTGGTGGGAGAAGCAGGGAGCGCGGCCGCTTCGGTCTGCTCGAAATTGAATCAGCGAGTTCACCGGGATGCGCTTAAAAAATTTTAATATCTCACCTTCTACAGGTCCGATTTTGATGATTTTTTTTTTTAATTTTAACGTATTTTCAAATACCTATCGTTAATAATTATTGGTCTTTCAACAGTCCGATAATTATTTATCTTTAAACTTCCTTTATTTATCAACTTTATTTTTCTATTTTATCAAAGGTAAGTGCATAAACTTATATACTGTTTATCAGTTTTCTTGAATTTCTCGCTTGCATAAATATTCAGGGGACTATTTTTTTAATTTTAGAAGGGATTTCAATTGTATGGTATACACGCGCGTAATTTTAATTTGTTAGAAAATTATCTGACAAATCGTCAACAAATAACTAAAATTAATAACAATAGTAATAATTTTGGAGTTCTTTAACGCAGTGTCTTAGGACCGATTTTATTTATAATTTACTTAAATGATATTCTAAACTATACTACCAGTGACTTTATTAATTTGTTTGCAGATGATAGTTTAATTGCAACTGTGGATTGTGATTTAAATAAGGCTATTATTGATAGAATGAATCTGGATCTACAAATCATTGAAGATTATTTAAATTTCAATAAGTTTAAATACAAAATACAAATAAATACTCTAAAATGAATATAAATAACTTAAAAGTAATATTTGCCAACAACGTTGTAAAAAATATAAAAAATTTGCAAAATAGAGGAATAGAATTACATTACGATACAACAGGAGTACCTACTCCCATATATTGAATGCTTAATGTGTTGGAATGAATGTCTGTAGAAGAACCTTTGAAATAGTTGAGAGAGTTTTTGTTTATAAAATAATCAATCATCAATTACCGTTTTCATTCGTTTATAAAATATATTAAAGAAATATATAATTATGATACAAGAAGTGTAAATTGCTTATAGGTATTTAAATCATGCAAAAAAGTCAACTGCGCAAAAACCTGTTTTCTATAAAAGTTTTAAAGAATTTAACTCCTTAGCAAGTAATATTAAAAATTCTGTCTTTATAAATGTGTTTAAATATAAACTTTCTAAAATAAATAATATTAGTACCTATATAACAAATTGTAATGATATTAAATTTTATGTATAACAATTATGTATTATAATATAGTTATATAGGGTGTTAAAATTAAAACTTCCCACCTGGAAACTATCGAAATTAAAAAAAGACAAAGAAAAAAACCTGAGGCACATCGATTCTCTTTTCAAGGGGACCACGTGATGGCATAAATTTTGGTGTCTTGGAATCTACCCCTTAGGCACCCTTTATTGAGTGACACCTCATTTTAAAGTTTTTTCAATTCTGCTCACGAAGACAAGCGACTTTTCTAATTTTGATTTGGATATGACAATAAAATCATGACTTGAAAAATAAGACAAAATATCAATGAATGAAAGAATGTTATTTTATTAAATGTTCAAATTGGTTTCCCTCCACTTCCAAACAATAATAAAATCTTTGCTCCATCTCTGAACAAGCATTTCGGGTGATATCTGACGACATTCTTCAACAATTTGCGCCTCAGGTGAGTTCGGTCGTGTTGCATAAATTTTCGACTGTAAGTGTCCCCATAGAAACAAGTCTAAGAGCTAATAAATGCGAGGATTTTCATCACTCCAGTAGCGGCAATTATGACGGTTGACTCGAAACAGATTGAGTACAAAGAAATTTAATTCCTTCGAGCACGATCACTCATTTTTTACAGAACTGCAAGAGGCGATCAGGATCGTCTTTATTAAATTCTTGTACCAAATTTATTTTTTATGGGTGATACTTATGAATTTTTAAGATTCGGCGGCAACTAGGTACAGAAATTCCTAAAGTACTTGCAAATTTCCTGAGACTCAAATTTGGTTCCATTGAGATGTAACCCAGGACAGCTACCCGATTACCCTCATTACGTACGATCTATACACGTTGATGCTTTCTGTTTGCAACCGATTCAGTTTCCGAAAATGTATGCACTAAATTCAGGACGTACCCATGCGAAGTGTTTTTGTCAGGATGATGATCATTAAACATTTATGCTGCCTGTCGTTTCAAAGTCATTATTCTTGTAGAACAAACTAATTATTTCCACTTTTTTAAGCAATTGTATGAACCATTTTCACGAATTGACTGTGATGATTTTAAGGGATATTGTCTCGATAAGACAAGACGAGACAATATTGTCTTGTTTAAAGTAAAACTGGTAAAAAAGTTGAACTTGAGTGGAGCAAAGATTTTATTATTGTATGGAGGGAAACCAATTTGAACACTTAATAAAATAACATTAATTTATTGATATTTTGTCATATCCAAACCAAAATTTAAAAAGTCGTATGTAGTCGAGAGCAGAATTGAAAAAGCTTTAAAATTAGGTGTAACTCAACATAGGGTGCCATTTAAAATTTAAGGATATTTTACGCTCCTGCCTAAGGGATAGCTTCCAAGACACCAAAACTTAAACCATCGTGTGTCCCCCTTGAAGAGAAAGTCGACGTATCTCTATTTTTTTTTAATTCGGATATTTTCGAGGTGAGAGATTTTAATTGAAACGCCCTGTAGATATCTATATGCTATATGTGATATTGTGTATAAGATATGTGGTATAAGTATGTCTATATTAAGTATTTCCCATTTAAACAAAGTTTCTTTGTTTGGAATACATTGTTTAGCTCACCAACAGCATTTAAATTAGCTGATCTATAGTTAATGAACCGACTTACTTAGGGCAACAAAATATCGATCTTACTAAGTTATTAGTATTATTACAAGTAAAGTTAAGGTTAATAGGTTGACGTTTAGGGTAAAAAAAAAGTAAAACTTGCTATTTACTGCAACTGGCTGTATTTATCAAAGCATATTTAGTTATGGTAAGAAAGAAACTTGGTGGATATTTAATGCAGATATTTTGCGACAGTTAGCTTTTACTAACAGTAGTAGAATCAACAACAGCTCCGCAAATTGGAAAAAATTACTTCTGGTGTCTGACTATGTCTACCATGTGTATTCGGGGTCGCTGAATCCGAATCCGGGGTCCATTTAATCCTATTACATCAGGATAATATTGCACCCCAAATGGAATAGAAGCCTTCTACGTCTTCGTCGTTGTTCTTGGTTTTAGCAAAACGTAGGCTCCCCCAACGAAAGTCTCTTTCTTACCGGGTTATGGGTGTCGGTGTTATGGAGTTTCGAGGTTACGGGGCTATAGGATTAAGGAATTATGGAGTTATAGGGTTATAGGAGTTGAGTGGTCAATGGTTAGAGGATTTATTGGGTTTTTGGGCCTATTTTTTAGGTTATGAAAAATCCTGACATGATGGGGTTAAATGGACGCTTGTAGGTATTTATCAGGTTCATATGGAGACTATAGCTACTGGACACTAGACACTAGCCTGCTGCCGCTGATTTCTAGTTACCAAGACATGCAGGACAGCCAATTGTCCCCCCTCTCTTTCCTAAATAGTGAACCGAATATTTGGATGAAAGGAGACGACTCGAAAAATCGCCTTACTCTATTTTAAATTATTAGGTGCACTTTACTTACATTTCAAATTACGAAAACATTGTTAAAAGCGAGGAATCAATGGTGTTCTTCATATAATTTTCTTTTCAAAATTTATAAATATAACGTTTGACAAAAAAATAATAAAAAGGAAAGGTTTTTTAACCTTCTTGCAGTGGAAAGGGAAATACGTTATTAGAGAGGCATTTGATGAGCGTTGTACCAAATTAGGGTTTCCTTAGTTTAGTGGTTTGTAAAAAAATATATTTACATTTACTTACGTTTCGCCTTTCTTAATAAAAGTCAACGAGGTGTCTGTCTCATATCTTGCACTTATTGACTGAATACGCCGTACTTAGTTAAATTGGTTGTGAATTAATTATAACTTTTTCAAATAGGAATGCAACATCTTGTTATTTTGGAATCGGAACCATGGGGTCTGTCTCTAAATGAAACTTTAATACCACAGTATTTAAAAAGAAACGGGTATGCAACACATGCACTCGGAAAATGGCATTTAGGATTTTTTAAAAAGGAGTACACACCCACATTTAGAGGTTTTGATAGTCACTACGGATATTGGCAAGGCCTTCAAGATTACTTTGACCATACTGTTCATGCTACGGTAAGTGATAAAGTATTTTAATGGATATAACCATTTTATACAGAGTATTTATTAAGTACTTGTACAAATTTTAAATGGTGAATATTTGACTAATTTTAAGATAAAGAGCGCCCAAAAAAATTGTTTCTTTGGTATTTTGAATATATTTTTGTTCAATAATATGGCAATTTGACGAAATTTGGGAAAATGGGAGTATTGATGGTCAGAAACTTAAATATTTATTTAGTTTTTTGTTTAACGTTAGAGGGCGCCACATACATGTATTTAAATAACCATAACTTTTTGTGTCGCACTCTTTGTCGTATTTAACTAAACATAAGTACCTATGCTCCATTCAATTTTACGTACTGTCGCTGAAAGCAGCCGTTTAAAAAAAATAGGTTTAAAGTTAAACCTGCTTTGGAATTAAAGTTAAAACATTAAGAGTTTTTGAAAAATTTCTGAAAAAATTTATCTTTTAATGATCGCGTTGCGATGTGACTTTAGATCATTTACGAGACTAAGACTAAACTACTTTTTCATTTACATAACATTTACAATAATTGCTTTTTTGTTCATGTTCATATGAATTTTTTATTTTAAAATTAGTCAAAGATTCACCCTTTAAAGTTTGTACAAGTACTTAATAAACACCCTGTACATTTTATAGTTGATTTTTTTTATTATATTATACCAACTCACCTATACAGGCTGTCCTACAAGGAAGTATACAAACTTTAAGATTACTTTTTTAGGTAAGAATCAATAGAAACCAGAATATCCAGAAACCCACCTTTCTAAGCTATTGGTATTCAAATTTAAAACATATTTTTTAAGAATTCATATGATGGTTTCACAAAACTATATAATGTAATACCTACATTTAGTGTTTACAAAACCTCGCCAGTATTTCTATATTTTAATTTCCAGGGTCGTAGATACGGGAGATCCTTTATCTCCTGCAATGTCAAAATGCTGTAAAATTTAAAATAATACAGCTTTTTCACTAAATACTCTATCTACTTGTAGCTAATTTAATGGGAACTTTTAGGACTAGGTATGTCCTAATATAAAACTGAAACAATATTTTTCCACAGTAAAAATACTTTCTACACCGCTATTCATTAAACTACAGTTCATCTATTCCTAGATATCTGCAGAAAAATGAAGTAGTGATATTTACATACAATATTCTGTTTTAAAATGACTAAACATGCTCTATTTTACAAGAAAATCCTGTTTTTCCGAGCAACGACAAGAAATTAATTTTTAATTGAACAAACTCATTAATGGGTTTTATATGAGGAAAAACATGCTAATAAATAATAGCTAGGTATCTTATATTTTTTACGATAGTATTACGCTCCGAAATTACAAAAAATAAAAAAGAAAGAAAATGTTGTAACAACTAGATTAAAACACATTTCGGGATCTGGGCTAGCTGTTGTGAGCCTTTAATTCGATGGCATTGTCAGGAAATAGAACCGTTTTTAGATTCTGTCCTGAAAAAAATTCAAAATATTTCACAAGGACCTAGATCGGACTTTATACTATTAATCTGTCACCATTAAGTTAGGAAAAAGTAGTTCATACTCCAGCTACGAGAGTTGGCCGGTGGGTGCGGTAAAAATGGAAACGAAATATGCAAGAGTGACGGCCAAAAATCAGAAAATTCATTTTTTCGCAAAGTAATTACAAGGCCTCTGTAGATCACCCTTTCCCTCACAACCGAGAGAAAAAGTACGTATTATTCGCCTAACTGCCGTGGCAGCCATGGCATCCCGGACCTAGATCGAACATTATAACAGGTGTCCGCCGGGAAGGTATACTACTTTGTTTTGCCGCCATTTTGGTAAACATTAGTCTTGACAGTTCATATTTAGCAGTCGTGAAGTACACACATGGCAAATTTATTATGGAAAAATATTCGATAAACGAACGTGTTTTAATCGTTAAAACATTTTATCAAAATCAATCATCGATTACTGCGACGATGAGAAAGTTACGTGAAATATTTGGGAGAAACAACGTGCCAACAAAACGCACTATTTATCGTGTAGTGAATGATTTCGAAGAAAGAGGGTCTGTAGGTGATAGGCCCAAGCATGGACCACAACGTACTGCAAGATCGGCTGAAAACATTGAGAAAGTGTTCAAAACAATCCATCAACCTCAATTCGACGCCGTGCTCAGGAGCTTGGTCTTCAAAGAACAACTTTGGCCACAATTTTGCACAAGGATTTGCATTTGTTTCCATTTAAGATTCAGTTGACACAAGAGCTTCTTCCACAAGACGCCGTACATATGCCAATAGGATGTTACAGCTCGCCCATGACAACCCCGATTTTCATGAAAAAATCATAATGAGAGGCACATTTTCATTTGAATGGATATGTGAATAAACAGAATAGTCGGTTCTGGGCAATGGAAAACCCTCAAATTATTCATCAGTCACCTTTGCATCCATTAAAAGTGACAGTCTGGTGTGCAATTTGGTCAGGAGGAATCATTGGACCTTACTTCTTTGGAAATGAAAACGGCGTAACGGTAACTGTGAATGGGGAGCGATATCGTGATATGATTGAAAACTTTTTAACGCCACAACTGCATGCTTTGGGCTTGATTAACATGTGGTATCAACAATACGGTGCCACATCGCATACAGCCAGGATTACAATGAAATTACTGCGAGACCTCTTTCCACAACAAGTTATTTCAAGAAATGGTGATGTTGATTGGCCTCCACGGTCGCCTGATTTGACTGCTCCGGACTTCTTTTTGTGGGGATATCTGAAAAGCAAGGTTTATGCAAACAAACCAGAAACGCTTGAGCAACTCAAAAAACATATTCGTGATGAAATTAATGAAATACCGCGTGAAATGTGTGAGAATGTAATGAAAAATGTGCTGAAAAGGGCTCGCATTTGTGAGGCTAACAGAGGCGGACATTTATCTGATATTGTATTCCATACATAATTGCCGACATTAAATAAAACATTTATCAATATAAGATCCATTCTCTTTCATTTAATCAAAAATTATAAACAAAGTAGTATACCTTCCCGGCGGACACCTGTACTATCGAGCTGTCACTATTAGCTAGGAATAAGTAGTTGGTACTCGAGCTACGAGAGTTGGCCTGTGGGCCGCATGGGTAAAAATAGAATCGAAATATGTTAAAAGTCCCGGCTGCCGAAAACAGAAAATTCAACAGCTCCTGCCCTCTCCTCACCAAAGGAGCAACATATTTTATACGCACTAACATAACTGACGTCAATTATGAATATTTAGGTTCTACAGGGTTCTTCACGGTAAGTGGCCTATTAAACGTTTCAGAGGAACCAAAGATGATATGACTTTGAAATTTTGTTTACGGGAGTTATCAGATATGTTCTCTTCCAATGAAAATAATGCAATGTAGCACTTCCGGTTATACAGGAAGTAGCTGGAACACCATATGCAAGGTGTATATTATTGCATTATCGACAAGATGAATTAAAAATAAGTCAAAAATGTTAAAGCTTCCCTGTACCTAAATCTAACCGTTTTCGAGATAATCGACATTTTATAATAACAGACAGATGCAAGCGTTTTGAAAATTCCTTATATCTTCTTCGTTCTTTGAGCTTTCACTTGCTTGTGTTCCATTTTTTACGTGACATTTTGAAAATTTAAACATAACTTTAAATTCAAATGGAACACCCTGTATTTTTCTGCATCATATTATAGAAAATCATATTTTCTTTTCACCGACAGGCATTGTAGGGGTTACAGTTTCAATTTTCTGACTTACATTCTCAAGAATATTATATCATCAAATGTGCCTCGGAAGGCAAATATTTGTACTGTCATTAAATATTCTACAAGCATCAAGTATTTGCTCGACAAGAAAAATGCAAAATAATTATTTTAATGAAAATATTTTAAATTTATTTTATACCCATGGGATATTTACCATAAATCAGCATTTCTGTGATTTGCCCCTCATTTCCCGATGTTCCCATCTGCCCGACCGCATACGCGCGCTCGGCCATTTTTGAGCATGTTTGAAGCAATTTTTCACCTATTTCGTATCATTTCATCGGAAAATTAGAATATATGTTTTGTAGTATTATACCTACTTCTACTTTTAAAATTCGCCTGAAAAATTAAAATCGGACCACCCCCAACGCATCCAGAACTTATTCAAAATAGTGCACCAAAAAATTCTAATTGCAATTGTGCCAAAGCCATTGGTTCTGCACACTTAAAGTACATATAAATCACTACTTTCGTGCACAGGGTCAGCTGTACAACTTAAAAAATGGCGGAGTAATGAATTTTTAAAAAAACGCTAAATTTTCCGATTTTTCCTCGTTTCTAATTATCCGATCGATCGACCTCTCGTTTTATTCGTATTTCGATTCTCTACAAATTGCCTCTTTATAGCATTCAGATTGCTTCTTTAGTTTAGGTTTTATAAGCAAAATACTTAAAAAATGCGTTTTTTGTATAAAAATATTTATAAAAAATTAATTCATGATAAATTGGAGTAGGAAGCATGCAAGCATACATATACAAACTGTCTTTTATATGATGGCACGGTCCGTTTGCTACTAGAATTTTAGTCACAAACAAAACCTCTATTGATTGGCCTACATTTACGACCCGAAGATCCCGAAAAACGGTTAGATTTTCTGTCTCATTTCTAAGTTTTGTACCAAATGACATTAGTATCCTTAAAAAAATTTGTTGTACTGACAAAATATCGATTTCATAATAATGGTTTCGTCAATGGACGATATCTCTCAAACTATTAAGTTTTTGAAAAATAGTCATTTGGCAAAAATTGTTTGGAATTGAACAAAGTATCGGATAAACCTTGTTACAAAGTTCCTGTCAAAGAAAAATTTCTTTCGACTTCGACGCCATCTCCAATTTGCTTTGAAAAAATCAAGTTGCAGTCCTTGACGAAGCCATCGATGAGCTTTATCATCTGTTTTTTTTCAAAATCAAGATATCTCTTTTCGTTGCCGAGATACGAGGCTGAGGACTTTTATGTGGAACACCCGTGTATCGCGTGTCCGAAAATTTACGCAAGATTTGAATTTTTCGCCATTTGTGCGGTAAAGCGTTGCCAATGAAAAAAAGAGACAACGTAACATCGGACGGTTCAGGGTTAAAATGGAGCGCTACACGAAAGAACGATGTGTTTTCATTGTTCAGTAAAATTTTAAAAATAATGAGGGTTTGGCATTTCAATTTTCGTATAAAATGTGGTTGGAATAGTGAATTAACTTTATCAACTGTAAAGAGTGATCTCAACCACTCTGTCGGTCCTTCAACAAGTCGTTCAACACAAAACATCGAAGCAGTCGTGACAGTGCGCAGCGTTGCTGAGAGTCTAGGAACACCAATTCGGCACCGTGTCCAAGGATTGGACATGTCGAGAGGCTCTCTATAGCGTATTCTCTCGAAAGATTTGCATCTTCTTGCTCACAAAGTAGGAGCACAGACTTAAGAAGCTTCTTAATTGAATAAATAGGCCAGTTTCGTACAGCTTCAGTTTTCCTCGGATCAGTTTTCATATATAATGACGTCATCTAGATATACAGAACAGGTCTTCCAGGTAAATCATTGTAATACAGTCTTTCGAAAGTGGGCGGAGCATTGCAGAGGCCAAATGGTATGACATTGAAGTGCCACAAGCCTGTTCCCGTAGAGAAAGTAGTCTTTGTCCTATTGGTTGACTTCCATTAACCACTTTTGAGGTCCAACCTAAAAAACCATTTCGCATTTGCCAGAGTGTCTAAGTATAGTGTCATCAATTATAGTTAGAGGATGACTGTCTTTATTTGTTATGTCATTTAACCTTCTGTCGTCAACAGAAAATCTGGTAGTCTGGTAGTATTGGTGGTTCAATTAAATCTTGATGTTCCATGTTCTTCAAAAGGTTTTCCAGTTTTCCACTTTTTCTTGCTTAGCCAGTGGAATTCTTCATGACCTTTGCTTAATGGGAGCACCAGTATCGATCTTGTGCTGGATTATGTTAGTTCTTCCAAATCATCTTCAGATAGGTTAAATACATTTCAACATTTCATTCATTTGTCAAAACAATTTTGTTCTTGATTGCTAGAGGATGGTTTCACCTTTTCTTCCAGTACCTTCAAGCTGGCAGGCATTTCACCTTGGAATTTGATGTGACGTCTTCACACTTCGTTATATAACGAGCGTTCAAATAAAAACGTGGTCGAAGTTGGCTCTGACACATTGGACGTAGGGAGTAGCTTATAGCGACCAACTTAACCTCATTTCTCAACGAGCTGTATAGCAGCTGTCAGTTTCAATAACGTTAATGACTATATAACTTTATTTTAAAGAATAATCGTGATAACAATAACAAACAATTAAAGGAGCTGCGGAAAGTGTCCCCCTCCTTGTTATAACAATAAATTAAAGCAGCTGCTGAAAGTGTCCCCCTCCTTGTTCCAAGCACTTTTCACACCTGTTCCTCAAAGAATTAAAGACATTTTCTAAGATGCTCGGGGTATTGTTAATTTCACGAATCTTGTCTATAAGTCGAGCCTGCAGATGGTTTAAATCAGGAATAGGCAGTTCAAAAATAGTGTTTTTAAGGTAAGGCCACAAAAAGAAATCACACGGCGTAATATCACATGACCTCGGTGGAAATTCATGTTCAGCATTGAGACTTATTAGTCGATTTTGGAAAACTTCCCTCAACATATTCATCGTCTCGCCTGCCGTATGTGCCCTTGCGCCATCTTGTTGAAAGTAAAAGTTTGTAATTTCGTTTTCTTCCAGCTGGTTAACAAAAGGAGCGATAATTTCTTCTCTATACCTTTGCGCAGTAAGAGTACCATTAAAAAAAATAGGTCCATAAATCCTCCTTCGATTGAGAGCACACCAAACTCCAATTTTTTGAGCGTGTAGAGGGCCCTCGACAAAAAAGTTATCTGGTTTTTCAGAAGACCACATTCTCATATTCTGTGAGTTTACGTAACCACTTAAATGAAACCAGGCTTCATCAGAAAAAAAGGTGATATTATGAAGTTCACCGTAGTTGTTTAAAAACCATTCACAAAATACAGCCCGTCGCGGAAAATCAACTTCATGAAGTTCTTGCTGACAAGTTAAACGATAGGAGAACAAACGCAAATCTTTTTTTAACACTGTGTGGCAGGTACCGACTGATACTCCCACCATTTGTGATAAAACACGTACAGAAGTTCTTGGCGCATTTTCCATTATTTGTTGGACATTTTCTTTTAATTCTTCAGTCCGCTTTTTAGGTCGGCCGCTTCCTTCTTTTCTTGTTACACTGCCCGTTTCACGAAAAACATTAACACAACGCTGAACTGCACTTTGAAAAATTTTGTACTCAACAACGCCGGGAAATTGATTTTGAAATTCTATGAAACATTCCTCAATAGAATACTTCCATATTCCATCAATCTTGCGTCCATTTCTAAAGTAGGACTCTATGATAAACACTTTTTGTTCTTGAGAAAACACCAATTTAAACGCTTTTTAAAACGAAAATATTCAAATTGATAGCGGCGATATAGCGCTTTGACAGGTGACGTTTAAGTTCATTTGCTATACGCTACGCCCTACATCCAAATTTTCAGAACCAACTTGACCACGTTTTTATTTGAACGCTCGTTACAATATAGACTGACATTTTCGAAAAACATCAGCTCGTTTTAGTTTCTGTCCTTGAGTATTGAGATTTACAAGTCGAACATATGTCAGACCTTGCGTCTTTTGTGTTAATATTCGGGCCAGCAGTAGTTCTTTTTGGATAAAATTTTGATTTTCCAAATCCGATTTAATCAGGTTCACTTCTTCATAAACTATCTATCCTCCAAATATAAACGTATGAACGACTCGGATAAAGCTGGGAGTGAAACAACCTCACCTGCAGCTATACTACGTACTTAATCGTGAGATAAATAATGACATTGACATTATTACTTCATCTTGTTCAATAGTAATAATACAGTCTTGTAGACTTTCATTAGAACTAAAGCCATTAACATGTCATCAAGAATATTGGCCACAAAAACTTCGTGTCGACAAATTTTTGCTTCCTAGCTGAAATTCTGCTTCGTGTACTCCAATCGCGGGAAATGTCTCATCTCCTTTTATTTCCAGTACAAACTTCGTTATTGTCGGTCCTATTTTGCAGTGGCTAAGAAGATACCATCAAGATTATGTTCTCATGACGTAACCGGGACACCGTAACGTTTGTAGGTGGAGTTTGATAGCACTCAGCCAGTTTCTGCCACTTAAAACTGGTTGATTTTGGTTTTTTCTCCGTCATAGGGGCTACTACTAGAGTGGCGAAATTTCTGAGGTAGGTTTTTCTCCTTGGTTATACTTTCGACCAAGTATTCAATAAAGTTGGTGGGTACCTGGCACCTTTCGCAAATGTATGCCTTTTGCTCGGGTGTCGATGGCCTCGCACCGGCTACCGTTAACCTGAACTGTAATCTTGGGCCGCGATGTCGTCTCCGACTCTTTGTTGTAATTTACTACGCCTTCCGATGTCATCTTTGTGGTGCTGGTTGGCGTCGTTGGTTGTTGCTGCTGGGGTTCTCTCGGGACCGGACATCTTATGATGTCTCACCCCCATGACATTTCCCGGCCGCCTGGATCACTCTCTATTGAAGTGATTTTCTCTGCAGTGTAGCAAGGGCTCGGTGGATTTAACACTTCCGCCCGCTTCGGTGGTCCGTACCGTTCTTGATCCTCCAGACGTGGTACTTTCATACATGGCTAGCGATTGACTGCTTGCAACATGCCAAAATCCTTGGCTGGATATAACTTCGGGTGGAGCGGAGTCGAGCGGGATTATCGCTCTTTACCCACACTGCCTTGAAGCGTGACTGACGACTTTTTATAAGCTGGCGCGTGGTAGGAGTAGGCCGCGCCCGCTACGCGCGCTGCAGCACAATTTCAAACCATTTTATTTCGTGTCTGTGGTCAAACATTCTCCCAAACTTTTCTTGTCACCCTGTGTTTGTATATTAATATATGTATAATTCAGCAATTCTCAGAACATTATTTTTCAATTACAAATTTGTTTTTAGTATACATCAGAAGTTGGATATGACATGAGAAAAAATATGTCTGTAGATTACAGCGCGAAAGGTAAATATTCAACCACATTATTTACCGAAGAAGCAGTTAGGTTGATTCAACAACATGACACTAATAGGCCAATGTTTATGTATCTTTCGCATCTCGCTCCTCATAGTGGAAACGATAACAATCCTTTACAGGCCCCCGATGAAGAAATTGCCAAATTTTCTAATATCGAGGATCCAGAAAGACGTATTTATGCTGGTGAGTATATATACAGCGCGGTAAAAAAGTTTTGCTTAAAATTCATATTTTCATTAAACAACTTTTTTTCGAAAAACGGTGAGACCCGTCGATTTGTATTTGATCCAGGGCACCTTGTTATGTGGAAATTTTTTTTTTCGATAATCCACTTACGGCAGCGATGACATAATATTTTTTTTAATGACAACGCATATTTTTTTTCGTTCGAAATTGATGACAGTGATAATTATCTAAACAACGGTGTGAAAATTTCGATGTCTTACATAACAATTTTTTTTAGAAAAATGCACCTTAAGTTCTTGAATGCAATAATTTGCTGTTTACGGATCAAATGCCTTAGAAAAAAATTTATTCGGCAGAAAGCATTTCAGATAACTTAAGTTGCAACTGGTGTTATGTAATATTTGCGGAATTATTCATCAGATATTGTCAGGATCCTGATTAAACTGCAAAATTTAGAACCAAGTTCAACCGCACAAAATCCAAATAGTATGTAGCAAATTAAGGTCGACTTTTTGTCTTCGAGTTTGCCGATAAATTCCTCAAAAAAAAAAGATCCAAAGAAATGTTTACTTGAAAGGAGTAGATTACCTGAAATATTGAAGACTAAAAATCAGTACCGATTTAACATTCTTTGGTGAAATCGTTTAATTCGAAATGGCAAAACTTAGTGAACGCGAAAGAATTGATATTTTGAGGATGATTGGTTTCGGCGATAAGTTACGAACCCATCAAGAAGCTTGCCAATTATTTAATGCAACGTACCCTGACAGACCACCAATTACGCAATCTACGGTTAGTAGGGTACTGGCAAGGTTTGAGGAAACTGGTAGTGTGAAAGATGCTCCTCGTGCGGGTCGTCCTAGAGTAGATGATGAAACTAGATTGAATATCCTGGTGGAGCTCCAGGACAACCCTCATTCTAGTACAAGGTCGATTGCATTGAACAATGATATTTCACATGTAACTGTGGTGAACTTTCTCAAAAAAGAGAAATTTCACCCCTATAAGGGTCACTTGATACATGCATTGACTGAGGACGACCCAGACCGCCGTCTCCACTTTTGTGAAGATTTAATGCATCGATGTAACGGAGACCCCGACTTCCTCAAGAACATAATTTTTTCTGACGAGGCTACTTTTTATCTTAATGGATCGGTGCATCGACATAACTGCCGGTATTGGTCTCAGGAAAACCCGCACTGGGTGCAAGAAGTAGATCATCAGCACCCCCGAAAGGTGAACGTTTGGGCGGGAATAATAGGGCGTCGTATTTTAGGCCCGTATTTTTTCGAGGAAAATTTAACTGCTGCTCGCTATTTGGATTTCCTGCGGTTCGATTTGGTCCCAAGCTTAGCAGAGTTATTCCCGAACAACGAGGATCCTGATATTCCTGAGGAAAGAATTTGGTTTCAGCAGGATGGTGCACCGCCCCATTATGGAGTGCAAGTACGGGAGTACTTGAATAACACGTTTACTGGCCGGTGGATCGGGCGACGCGGAACAATCGAGTGGCCTCCGCGTTCGCCTGATTTAACACCTCTAGACTTTTTTTGTGGGGCTATTTGAAATCGCGTGTGTACACAAACAGACCAGGTGATTTGGAAGAACTTAAAAACCGTATTCGTTTTGAAATAAATCAAATCGACCCGGGAATGCTTGAACGAAGTGTAGACGGCGTTTACACACGCTTAGGACAATGCCAAATGGTACAGGGTGGGCAATTCGAACAATTTCGCTAGACTTACACAAACATTAGTGTAATTTTACTCGTTTGAAATGTAATTTTGTCAACTTTGTCCTTTTCGGAGCCATTAATAGTGTAAGTAGACAATTATCACTTATAAGAACTTAAGGTGCATTTTTCTAAAAAAAATTGTTATGTAAGACATCGAAATTTTCACACCGTTGTTTAGATAATTATCACTGTCATCAATTTCGAACGAAAAAAATTTGCGTTGTCATTTAAAAAAAAAATATATGTCATCGCTGCCGTAAGTGGATTATCGAAAAAAAGTTTTTCCACATAACAAGGTGCCCTGGATCAAATAAAAATCGACGGGTCTCACCGTTTTTCGAAAAAAAATTGTTTAACAAAAATATGAATTTTATGCTGTATATAATGTAAACTTTAAACCTATAACTTACAAAATTTGATGATTGAATAAAAAATTGTCTAGAACATAGTCTCTTTATAAAATCAGTAATAGTATAAAATATGTTGAATATGTTGGAAATATAATGTTAACACTATTAAAAACTATTGATTAAAAGTATTGATAAAATTTATTAACACTAAAAATATTTAAAATTTGGAAAAATTCTTCTCAGGCATTTTTTACTATCTCTAACCTTAAAACATGAATGGCCATATGGTGGCAAGGAACCAAACAATTAAATCATAACCCAAAAATAGTGTGCTAATACCCACTGGACAAGAACGATCGAGACAAACCATAGAACATGCATATTATAGAATTTTGAAAAAGAAGGAAACAGTTAAATTGGCGCTAAATTTTGAAACACATTTATCCTAAGCTAGATTCACTAACATCATTATTATATAAATTATTATTAATATTTAGTAAACATGATACTTAAATTATCAATATCATAATATTGAAAAATACCACACATTTCAAGAAAATTTCTTTTAGAAATATTATTCTCTGAAAATTTAATACTAACATCATTAATTAATATCATGTTTACAACAATTAGCTTGATTTAACAACATACATGAATTCTTATTGAGCCTAATATCGCTCCTACGTGAACAAATTCTATATTTAAGCCTCCTACAGTTTCACCAATATAAATTTTCTGACAATGGTTGCAAGGAATACTATAAACTACATTTGACTTATGTAATAAAAGGACTATACTTACCCTTAGATTAGAAAAAAATATTTTTGATAAGTAATTCGTCTTTAAGGTAAAGAAAAATATGTAAAATTAGACAAAACAGAAGTATGATTCACACCATTACTTACTAGGGGACCACTGTCGAACTTATCACTTGGATCAGAAGATGAAGGAAAACGAACTTCCAGATCATTGATTCTATTAAAGAGGAATTTATTAATAAGACCTCTTGGGTAACCACAATTAATGAAAAGCTGAGGAAGCTTTTTAAAATTTTCCATCGTTTTGTGTGTACGATGTGACGAACGAATAACCCTATTTTTCATCCCTAATAATAGATTAATTTTTTGTTTGATGGGGTGGTACGATGCAAAATGCAGGAAGCGTCCTGATGTACCACGATGTGTAAAGAAAATTGTTTTCTGGTTTGAAAACTATTGTATCGAGGAACGGAACACTTTTGTTCACGTCCTCTTCTTCCACTGTGAAATCGATGAAAGGGCTGTAACCATTGAAAATTTGTAATATCTGTTATACGCTACCCAAGGGAACACTAAGTATAAATAATATCATTTACATAATTTGTTAATAAAAATATACGGGGTGTAATTTTAGGAATAGGGAAACTTGATGAGAGTCACCTTAAAATAAAGCGTACAATTCAAAAATGTTATACTTAAATTTAATTTAATCTAAAATAACGAAGTTGGCGTCAACTTCCGGTATAACCGGAAGTGTTACAGAAACAAAATTATTAGATTTGAAACGAGCACACCCAAAAATCCTAGTGTGGCAATTTTCAAAATTTAAATCGAAGTAAGTCCTGAAATAATCTAATAGACCACTCACTATGAGCCACCAGGTATAATTTTTTTTATATATATTTTTAATATATATTTTACTTTTGCTTTTGTGACAAATGATAATGATAATAATAATTATAACGATAACGATAACGATAATGATAATGATAACGAATGATTATTATTATGATTGTAACTATTATGACTATGATTATGATCATGATCATGATATAGTCCAGACGGTATCTGTTTCAATAAGTCCACATTTGGGTGAATCGATACGATTCTATCCACGGAGATTTTTGGCTTTCAAATATCACTAGAAACGAAAATTTTTCTATGCGCAATGCGCATAAAAAAACGTGGTCTTAACTTTTGGCGGCACAATATTGATTTTACGCGAAAATGGAAGAGGAAAATAATGTTTGTAATTAAATTTTTTACAAAATATGACTAGCTCCAAATCGAATGAATCATGATTATAGAAAAAATTGAAAAAATCGCCAAAAATGGGGTTGAAAAACATAATTTTTTAGGGATTTTTTTTTTGGGTCTTTAAATTGGGTATAGGACTTTCATACTTGACTCAAGAAAATTTCATGTTACGTAGAATCATCACACCAAATTTCATCAAAATCGGTTTGATAGATTTTGCATAATAATTTTGCAATCCAAATTTTGAAAAAATAAATGCAAATTTTCAAAATTTTGCACAGTAAAAACCAAGATACTTGAAAATTTAATCACATATAGGAGGGTCTCAAGCTTTCAAACGCTTTTTGAAAAATTCGAATCCGTCAATTAGGAGAGCTCTGGCGCTTGATTAAACATTGGTCGAATTTTTGTACTTATAAAACAATTAGAATAACTTTCTGAATATTCAATCAAATCAAATTTTTTAAAGCAGGTTTTAAAAGTTATTGGAAAGACGCTTCTTTAAAAAAAACAGATCGATTGGTCAATAAATTACGTAGTTATAGCCGATTAAAGTATAATTCAAATATTATTTATTGTTTAAAATATAAGCAAATGAGAAATTAACTCATTATATTACTAATTTTCGACATATTTTAAAAATAATTGTTGTTTAAACAATTTTAGATATTTAAATAAATTTGTTTTTGATCTTTGATAAACAGTATATAAGTTTATGCACTTACCTTTGATACAATAAAAAAATAAAGTTGATAATTAAAGGATGTTTTAAGATAAAATTAAAAATTATCGGACTGTTGAAAGACCAATAAATATTATTATTAACGATAGGCATTTGAAAATATGCTAATTGTTTTTTTTAAATCGCGAGACATCGATTTCAAAAAAAAATCATCAAAGTCGGACCACTAGAAGCTCACGCCTATATCCTTGGCAGGAAAAATGATGTCGGATGGAGCCAGGTCGAGCGGGATTATCGCCTCGTAGAGGTAGGCCCTTTCCCCGTCATTCCGGACCGCCAACGCGGCCGGATACGATTGGTTCGTGGGGCCTCCTCCTGTCCTAGCTAAGCCCCGCCGCGCGCCGGCTAGAGCCCTTTCTTCTGGCGCTCTTCTTTCTTCGCCGGCTCGTCTGTGTAAACCTCCGGGGGTGTTGTGCGTCAGTCGCAAACGACTGGCGTCATTTGCGACTGGGGTGGTGGTTTTGTGTGAAGTCGTGCAGTTATGCAGCTTAGGAAGCGCTTTGCTAAGGTGGCCCTTAAGTTAGCGTAGGAGGGGAGAGTGGGATAGGAAGGTAGGGAGGAATGTGTGTGTGTATGTCGTCGTTGTCGTCTCTTGATCCTGGCGGTCCTGGAACAGACAGAAAAATTTCGACTCACCCTGCGTCCAGGAGTTGATGTCTAGGCCGCCTGCGTCTGCCGGCAGCCTCTTGGGGTCGGTAGTCCACCGCGTTCCGGATCAGCGGGTTGCTGTGGATCTCGGCGCGCTCGAAAAGCTTTCTCGCGCGCTCTTTGATCGCTTCCAGGGCTGAGGTGAATCCCAGATCCCGGCGAATATCGCTGCAACATATAGGGATCTATACCTCTTTTTACGAGTAGGGCCACGCCTCTTCCGTGTCTGTTTCAGTCTCTGCGATGTACTAGGTAGCCAGGAATCCTATCAGTGTGTGCGTCCTCTACTTTGGTCTCTTGTATCGCCATCACGTCCACGTCTAGACGGGGCAAGAACTCCTTGAGTTCGATTTTTTGCCCCCGGAATCCGCCGACCGTTGTTTGTCGGCTTGGGGGTCCTCTTTGCCCTGCTACTTCTTGCTCCCTGTCGTCTTCTTAGGGAAGCTAGGGCATCCGCGGTAGCTGGCGGGATGTTTGCCACCGCAGTTGGCGCACTTTGCCGGAGTCTCGCGCTTCTTAGTGCAGTCTGCCTAGTGGTGACCCTCGCACACTTGACAGCTGCGGTGCAACGGCTCTGCGCGTGACCGAAGCGCTGGCAGCGATGGCACTGCGTCGGCTCGGTTCTCGCCCTCTGCGGTTCCACTCTGACGACTAGGTGGCAGCATCTTGTCACCTTGAGCAGGTCCTCTTGCTCCTGGGGGACTTGTACAAGTACTACAGGCATGGGGGCCTTGTTCCTCCGACTCTTCATTCTGAAAATAGATGTTATTTTGAAGCCCTGTACTTCGAGGTCAGACAGAATTCCCTCGTTGAAAATTCCGTCTGGTAGCCCTCTGATTACGGCCCTCAGCAGCCGCTCGCTTGGGAGAGAGAAGGTGTGAAATTCCTTCCACTCATCGGCGAGGACACGCGTGAGGCGTCTATAATCATTAGGCGTTTGCGGGTGAATGGCGATGCCTTCACCCGTTCACCTGACCCTGGTGTAATTTATTTTTCTGTTTGTCAGACTCCTGCTGACATCCTCCACTGCTTCTTCTTGCGAAGGATGACAGGCGGTATCCTCTCGGTTTTCTCGGCAGGGGCCGCGCGCTCTGATGTCGTCCCTGGTACGATCTTGGGGACCTTCACCTGTTCGGCGACAGGTGCTTCGTTCGCTTTTGCTGGCTTCTTTTTAGCCTTGCAGAACTCCTCCTCGGAACCCGACGAGGTCCCTGACTTACCTCGCATACCCCTTTTGGAGTCTGTTGTCCCTTGAGGGTGTTTAACAGCTCGGCATGCTGTTCTCGAGACCTCTTTTCAAGGTCGTCGAACGCCTTCCTCTGTTGTCTCAGCTCATCTCTGAGGTCGTCGATCATTTGCCGTAGTCTGGCATTCTCTGCTGCCAGCTCACTTTCACGGCTAGTTGTCTCCACGACCGACGCGGGTGTGCTAGGCCTGCTGTCGCCGGCTTCGCTGCCACTCGAGCGGTCGCTCTCCATGGGGGTTGGAGATCTCGACATAATGCCCTCCTCCCCGGCACCCGAATCTGTAAAATAAATGCCGGCGGTCTCTCTGCCTAGGTTGAGATAACGTCGGTCGTTAGTAGAAATTTTGCAGTATAAAATTGCCGAATTTTTTCTATAGATTGCCTTAATAAAGGCAGAATATTACTTGTCTTGTAAAAGACAGACTTTGTGGGGCTTCCATTTCAGTTTCTCGAACTGACACTCACTGCTGCACTGTACAAACTACGTCCGCACAGTTCGGCTGCTCGCTTGGAACTCGCGACCTCTAGAAGCTGAGATATTAAAAATATTTTTAAGTGCGTCGCGGTTTTGAACTCGCCGATTCAATTTCGAGCAGGCCGAACCGGCCGCGCTCTCTGTTTCCCCCACCACCCGTACGATTTTCTTGAATTTCTCTCTTGCAAAAATAACTTTAAACACGTTTTAAAGTAGGTTGCCAGTGCAGAAAAGTATTGCAAACTTAGACCTGGTAAGTACTCGGAATACCGAAAAATTAGCCCGGATGTCCCAGTACATTTAGTGTAAATGACGGTTAACTTTCATCGGCTATAACTACGTAATTAATTAACAAATCGATCTGTTTTTTTTAAAAAAAGCATATTTCCAATAACTTTTAAAACTTGCTTTAAACAATTTGATTTGATTGAATATTCACAAAGTTATTCTAATGTTTATAAGTATAAAAATTCGACCAATGTTTAAACAAGCGAATTTTACAAAAAGCGTTTGAAAGCTTGAGAGCCCTTCTATATGTGATTAAATTTTCAAGTATCTAAGGGCTTTGGTTTTTGCTGTGCAAAATTTTGAAAATTTACAATTTTTATTTTCAAAATTTGGATTGCAAAATTATTATGTAAAATCTATCAAACCGATTCTGATGAAATTTGGTGTGAAGATTCTACATAACATGAAGTTTTCTTGAGGTCCTATACCCAATTAACTCCATTTTTGTCGATTTTTTCGATTTTTACAATAATAATCATGATTCATTCGATTTGTAACTAGTCATATTTTGTAAAAAATTTAATTACAAACATTTTTTCCTCTTCCATTTTCGCCTAAAATCAACTCTTGAAAAGATACATAATTAAATAGGAAGAAAATTGACATTTTTCGAATTTTTTTAACTATTGTGCCGCCAAAAGTTAATCCCACTTTTTTTTATACTCATGGAAAAATTTTCATTTCTAGTGATATTTGAAAGCCAAAAATCTCCATGGATATACGATTCACCCAAACCAAAACAGATACCGCCTTGTCTAATAAAAATAATGGTAATCATGATAATTCTTCATTCTCATCGTCATCGTCATCTTCATCGTGATCTTCATCCTTATCGTCATCCTCTTCATCGTCACCATCATCATCGTCCTCGTCGTCCTCCCGTTCTCCTCCTTGAATCCTTTTTTTCTTCCTCCTCTTCGTCCACGTCGGCACCGTCATCCTCCTCGACAAGTTCTAGTCGTCGTCCTCGTTATCGTTATCGTTCACGTCGCCATCCTTGTCGTCCTCATCGTCCCAGCCACCCTCGTAGTCGTTCCCGTATATCTCGTCGTCGTTCCCGTCGTCCACTTTATCATCCTTGTCGACGTCCTCGTGGTCGTAGTCATCACCGTCTTCGACGTCGTCATCATCGCCTTCATAATCGTCGTCTTCATCACCGTCGTCACTATCATCGACACCATTACCAATTATAGTTAAAATACATTTCATAAAATTCGATATTGCTTTATGATTTTTGCAAAACAATTAGTTTCTATTAATGCTAGTCAAAATGGAAGTCACAATATTTTGATATGTTACAGCAATGGTGTCACTCTTAGATCAAAGTGTGGGTAATGTAATTACAGCTTTGAGAGAAAAACATATGTTAGAAAATTCTATAGTTTTATTCATGTCGGACAATGGAGCCCAACCCGAAGGAATTCACGCCAATCATGGTTCTAACTATCCATTCAAGGGGGTAAGCAAAAGAAATTCTTAAGTACAGATATTAATTCATTTTTTTCACAGTCTTTACAATATCGAAACACAGACTGTACAATATTAGATAATCTTTATCATTTTTCTATTACAAAATAATAAATTAGATACAATAGTAGAAACTAACAAGATACGTAAGGAAGGCAAATATTAAAAAATAATTACAGATAGGATGTAGGAAATTGCTTTACCAAACCTTCACATCTTCACTGTATTGGCTCACTCTATATTTTAATTGTATTCTAATTCTACATGTGATTGATATTTGGTAAATACTTTCAAATCTTTTTAATTAGTGTCAACTGTAATTTTAATATAACAATATAAATCCAAACAAACACTTCACTAACATCTTGTTTTACTTCTTTATTTTTTATTGCATATTATACTGTTGCATCTGAGTATTATTATTTATTGTACTGATACTGGCTACATTCGACCAACAGAATCCATGAGTTATCGCTAAATTATCTGTCGCGTGTCGATGATCATTTTAGATAGTTTCTCTCAATGCATATTCCATTTTTATTGTTTACTGATAATGGCGTGTTTCTGCCTATCATTATCCGTCAGCATTTGGATATAGGGTGGCTGGGCTCTTTGATGAGATCGGATGCAACGACTTGATTTGGCTCCATTTTTACCTGCGGTGCTGGGAGGTTAATTGCCCGCTTGGCTGTGAGTTTCCAGATTCGTGCGTCCCGTCCCTCGCGAAAACGCAAGGGACGCTCTGGGTGAGCATGTCGAGTGTGTTGTTCTTCCTCCATTGATGACGAGAGATATGCCTTGCTTCGGGATAATGACTCCACGCTCTAATGTGGGTCCTAAGAAGCACTGGGACTTCAGTTGCTTTGAGTTCAAAAGGTTTAGTTTGTTTGTGAGGAACTGACTGACTGACTGTTTTTGCACTTTATTTTGTAGAGTCTTATACCTGGCGTCTTACCTTGTTAGGCACTAAAGTTTGTTGTTTGAGGCCTCCGTGCAGCGCCTGTGTACTTTAGGAGCTTTTTGTACACCACCTCTTTAGAACTCATCGGTGTTTGGCGCGATGGTGGCCTTGCATGAAGCGTCTTTTGGTGGTTTCGCGGCCCGGATTTCAAATATGAGTGAATTTTGCAAATCCGCTCAGGACCTGGAATACGACACCTCCCCCCTTCGGGATTCGTTCAATGGTGACTGGAATCCTTCTACTGCAGGCTCGGACGGTTTAGAACAGTCAGTATTTCCCACTCTCCTCTCTTGGCTACATCATACCTTATAGCTGTTTTACATTGACAATTTATTCATGAATAAATTGACGAAGTTCTTCATGAATTAATTCACGAATTTATTGGTAAACAGTGTGATTTTACACTGCTACAGACTTTGTCAAGTTTTTTGACGCATGAATCAGTTCAACCAACAAATCAAAGAAGCAAATAAATTTCAAAAATGTCACCTTTCTACTCATAATTGTAGTGATACAACAGCGGTACCGTTTTGACACATATTATATAAATATTAGTTTTTGTAAGTAACAAATCAGTAAAAACAATGCAAAACTAGTACGACGCCACACAATTATTTACATATTCTAATAACATAACCTCATTACTGATCTGAGGCTGGAAATCTGTTGGGTTGGTAATTCTGAACTTCACGAAGAAATTGACAAAAATTAGAACATGTTCTTCTTCTTCGTCAAGAACTTGATGAAGTTATTTGACAGCAGATTTGGTGCATTACACTTGTCCAATTTCTTGATTCAATAAATTGTCAATATAAAACAGCTTTTAGGAAAACTTTGAATGGGGCTTCTCCCGTAACTCAGATTTTTCTGGTACGTATGATGGCGAGAGCTCGTGAAACTTGTATATCCTAGTTTCTACAGCCCGGCTAAGTGAATCAAGGCCTTCAGAATTGTCTTAAAATCTGCAGCCTTCCTCTCCCTCTTAAAGTATACGGCTGTAGTAGGGTTGGACTGCATAGATTGAGGTGGCTTCATTATTTGGTACGGGCTTGGCCTCTACCCACTTAGTGAGTAGGTCTTCCATATGGTTCTACTTCTGCTTCTAGCGAACCAAGACGTCGATGTTGTCGACTTCAAAAAGTCTGCGGACAGTATGTGGTTTCTGCGGTACATTCTTCTGGATTTGGCGGTTTTTCACTGCATGACACGGTAGACAGCGTCGTACCAAGTCGAAGACTTGTCGCCATCGACGGCTTGTGTGATACAGACCTATCGCACGCACCGTCTCATCTAGGTTAGGGTGAGCTGCATCATCGCCGTCGGTATCATGGTAGTGATGGATGACTTTTCGCATCTTCCGTCTTGGTATTGTTAAGACATACCCATGCTCGCACTGGGAGTATAACTTAAAGACGGTATTCAACAAATAACAATGTAATGAATTTCGGAAAATAGTAGAAAACAGATCACATAAAAAAATACAAGACACTGATTTTGTTTAAATTTCTATATGGAAGGTGACTTAATAAATTATAAATATCTTATCAAATGTCAACCATCACGAGGCAGGGCAAGACCTGAGGCACCTTCACCACTCATTCTCCAACGACCAGAAGGGAACTACCCGAGCTCTCCTCATGTCTCGAGCATCCAACCCGCTATCCCTTTTTGTTGAGCTTGCAATGACTCCCGAGTGGTTGACTTCTACACTTATCAACCACTCAGCACCATGCCGTGTGCAAAAGTATGTCACCGTTTTGTGACCCTTACAATCATGCAACGATTTTGCCAACTAACACACGGATTTATCAACGAGGCGTAACGAACGCCGTGACTAGCGGAAATTGCGCAAAAATTTTGCTCCCTTGTTGCGCGAATTTAAATAAAAAGCGTAGTCCCATTCACAAAAAGTGCGCGAAGAAGGCGCAACTATTAATTATAATGCCCCGTCTACTGTCTTGTGGTTAAACTATTATGAAGCACTGGAAATACTTACAATAATATATTACAATTAAACAAATAAAATGCAATTAACTTAACAAACTACACCTTAAGTTGCACGATTTTTATGCATGTCATGTAGAAGGTCTAAATTTTGACGCAAGTAAAAGGCGCAAGGGAAGCGCATTTTTTGTGAATACGTTTACACGGGCGCAAAACTCCTTAGTCTGATGGTCATTAATGGTCAAATCAAGGTCACGCATGGTTTGGCGCGCTGTCTTGAAAACGGGTTGCAAAAAAATGACCATAACTAACGTTGTAGGATTTTTCCCTGGCTATCTGACGGTGACCTTTGATTTGACCGTGACCTTCACCTTCAAAAACCGCACTATATCAATTTTGGCAAAAATCGGTTGATTTTTGAAATCGCGTCCGCCATCTTGGATCCGCCAACTTGGACTAAAATTCCTCAAAAACAGATTTCAGATTCGTAGTCAGCGACCCCAAAAAAACCCCCATACCAAATTTGGCGTAAATCGGTAAATTTTTTGGAATCGCGTCCGCCATCTTGGACTAAAATTCCTCAAAAACAGATTTCAGATTCGTAGTCAGCGACCCCAAAAACCCCCCTATACCAAATTTGGCGTAAATCGGTTAATTTTTTGGAATCGCGTCCGCCATCTTGGAAAATGGTCAAGGACATATCTGAACGTAAAATTTTCCGCTCTTTTCATTTCCGGGGTCAAAAGTAGG